ACACGGGAACCTGCTGCCACCCGCACATGATGACGAAGAAGGAGAAGCGGAAGATGAACGCCAAGAACGTGGGCTTCGAGACCTGCCAGGAGTGCCCTGCAACGTTGAGGCTCTCGGCCCCGAGCCCCAATTTGACCGGGCTTGGGGGCATGTATCGGAAGACCACGATCACATCCAAGAAGTTCAACGGTGGCAGACCAATCTACGTCAATATGGACAGCAACATCGAGGGAGGCGCACCTGTATACTTGTTCTTCATGCAGGACAAGCTGGCCTGGTCGATTGGGCTTGATTACAGTGCCAATTTTGTCATGGGGTATGCTGCCATGGAAGCTCAATGCCCAAGGGATACCAAATATTGGCTTTTCCACAACGGACAGGAATTTGTAAGGAAGCACTTCGACATCAAGGGCGAACGTAACGGACAGGACGCCCCGCAAGGCACGGAGCACATTTCCTGGAACATGCAAACGCGCAGTTGGGAACGCGAGAAGGTGGTCTGGGAAAGTGGCAGAGGTTTAGCGACATTGAGCGACGATGATGATGTCTCCAGTGGTGGCGATAACGCCACGACTGCGCGAAGCGAGGAGGGGAGCAACGCCACCGAGAACGGGCAGACTGGCGTCGAGAACGGCGCGACGGACAGCGTCGGGGAGGGTGACAGGAACGCCACAGAGAAAGAGGGTGCTGATGCAGTTGAGAACGAGAAGACGGGGAGGGGCGAGGCGGGTGAGACGGACGGCATCGAGGAGCCCATGTGAGAGGAGGGCCCAGGCGTCGTGAGAGAGGCGCTTGGATGCTTCGGGAACGCAGCGCGCAGGATGCTCCGAGCGTGCTCCCAGGCCGGCAACCTCTGGCGCCGCCTCGGGGGCTTTATATTGAGCAGGTGAGATAGATGCCCATTCCTCCTCCTCCTTCTGCTCCTCCTCCACCTTCTCTTCCTCCTCCCCTTCTCGTCCTCCTCCTCCTCCTCCTCCTCCATCGCCCTCGTCGCGCACCCGCTGTGAGCGTTTCTGTGCTCACTGCCGTGCCTGTCAAAAACAACCACGCCCCTCCTCTCTTTTCCCACCCGCTTCCCCCCCCCCCCCCCTCGTTGGAAGCCACCCCGCTCGCCGCGGCCCCTCGGACCGCAGTCCTCGCCCTGGATCCATGGCCCACCTGCCCCCGCCGGAGGGAGGGGCTGAGCGAGGGAGGAGGAGGAGGAGGAGGAGGAGGAGGAGGAGGAGGAGGAGGAGGAGGAGGAGGAGGAGGAGGAGGAGGAGGGGCTGAGCCGGCAGCCGGGCGTGCCGTCCGCAGGCCCGGAGGGCCGCGGGCGCCTCTGCGGCCTCGAGCCCCGTGCGGGCTGCTCGGCCTCTGGCAGGCCTGGCGTGCGGTTATGCTTGGGCCCCCGCCCTCTTGGCTGAAGTCTTCTGTTGCATCTTCGGGGCACCTCGCCTGTCCCAAAAATTGGTGTCTTTTTGCGGGCCCGACGCGTGCTCGATGCGGACTCGACGCGGATTTGGCGTGGATTCGACGTTGATTCGACACGGATTCGACACGGATCCGACGCGTCCGACATGGATTCGACACGGATTCGACGCGGACAGGGCCGCGACGGGACAGACAAGGTCCCCCGAGGATGCAACATAACAAGTCGGGCGTGTCCCCCTACAGGGGGATGTTCGACGACAAATTGAAAATACCCCAGGAATATCCCAAAAAGGTCAAACATATTCAAAAAATAGTTCCCAGACTATTTTTGGACTACTTTTTGATTATTGTTTGGGGATTTTCTGTTTTTCGTCGAAAATCCCCCTGTAGGGGGACAGGCCCGACTTAATTCTTGGCGGGGCAGGTCGACTGCTGTCCTCGATCCGGTCCCCGCAGGTTTCCAGGAGCCTCCCAGGCGTAGTCGGGGTCCTCCCAATCGTTGGTATTTTGGGACCATGTCGATTTGTGATTCTCTTATTCCGTGCAACGCGACGGTTCTCAGATGCGAGCAGGGGTTTTCCTCCTCCCTCCTCTGCCGCCTCCTCCTCATCCTCTCCTCCCCCTCGCCTCCCTCCTCCCTTCTTCCCTCCTCCACCTCCTACCATCTCCTTTCCCTCCCGCGTCTTTTCTGCCCCCTCGCGCTCCTCCTCCTACTCCTGCCCCTGTTTCTCCCTCGCCTCCTCCTTTTCTCTCCCCCTCTTTTACTCAATCGGATGTGCCGCTGCCGTTTGGCCCCAGCGCCGGCGCGTACGGCATTTTTTGACATATACAGAGCCGACCCTCTTGCATCATGATCGGCTTCTCATTCTCACCAATCCCGGCAGCTCTAGTTGATAGCGGAGCTGGGAGCGATCCCAGCTCGCGATCCACGGAAGACTCGCAGAGCGCGAAGTGGGCGCGCATTCGCACTGCCCCCACTCTCCGCACTGGTACACCGCCCTCCTTTCCTTGAACAGCCTGTGCTCAAGATGCCTGTCCTGCAGCCCCGCGGGCGCTTCGCCCCGGGGCACCCACGGGCACGAGGAGGCCAATACAGTCGGGGCCCTGAAGAAGGAACTCTTTTCGTTGGGGAGGGGCTCGGTGTCCCTTGATTGTTCTGCAGTTTGCCTTTTGTTTTCCTGAGGTTTCCCATTGGACATCGAAGCTCAACTTATCGGAGGAAGGGGCCCCGTTCCTTATTTAGGGTTCCTGAGGTCAAGGCCCCGACTGTGTGCCAGACCGCGTGGGTCCCATGTGGGGGCCCGGCTGCCAAGCAGCGCGGCAGCTGTTGGCTACTCGTGCAGGTCGCCGGCCGGGCCCGCTGGGGCGCCGCGGCGCCCCGGTTTCCGCACCTCCGTCGGGTGCGGTGGGAGCGTTCGTTAGAAGGAGCGTGCCCAGCAGTCTCCATTCCCAGACCCCCTCGAGTCCTGAAAAAATCACGGCGCGAGGTTTTTCGCTATTTTCGGCCTCCGAGGGCCCTTACCGGCCCTCAGGCCCGTCAAAAAACGATTCAGGATGAAAAGCCGGTCCTGGGGAATGGGTCCGGACCTCTGGGGGTCGCGTCATGAAAAAAATCATGACGTCGGGGGTCTGGATTCAGACCCTGGAGGGTTCCTTCTCTGCGGAGGGCGGCAGTGATACCCACGGTCGGTTCACGATAAAAGAGTTCCGTTGGTTGCCAGACGCTGGACTCCTTATCCGCTGGCCTGATCCAATGCCTTCACCGTCCGTAGCCATGTTGGCTTAAGCCAGGCTCGGGCGCGCGCGAGCGGGCTCGGGGACATGGCGCGGGCGTGGTCGCTTCCGGGCGACTCCAGGGCTGGGCAGCGTCGTTCGCGCGAGCAGCGGACCGCTGCCAGGCGGGCGGCGCAGGACTCGGTCGACCGGCTGGTCCAACGCCTCACACTGGAGCTTGGCGAGCTGAAAGCGCGGGTCGTGCAGCAGGAGGCGGCCTTGGACATGGTCACAGGCGCGCAGGGCGTGGCCGACCGTGTGCAGGCGTTCGTCCCCGGCTCGCTGCGCTGGCTCGAGGGGAAGAGCCGATATGGCTGGACAAACTGCGCCGCAACGTGGCGTTCCACGCGGTCGCCGTGGTGTGGAGTCGCTGGCGGTGCCGAGCGTGTAGGTCCTGCGGGCTGTCCAGCATGGGCCCCGCCTGGGACAGCCTTCGGCGCGAGCAGCCACGGGGAAGAGGACGAGGCGCAGGCGGAGGCGCGGCGGCGGGTCGGCGGCTCAGGCCTTGCGCTGCTCGGCCCCAGCCTTCATCCTTCATGCCGTGCGCAGCCGCGCCTCTTGGTGTGCGGTGCAGCTGCGGAGCGGTCGCGTTCTCGTCGTGCTTCCTGCCTGCTGCCTCCCGCGGGCGGCTTGGACGGATTCTTGGAGCAGGTGGACGTCGACGTGGACGAGGCCTTCCTGGTGTCTCTCGGCGAGGCGACCGTGGAGGGCGGCGACAGCGTGGCGCGCGCGCGGAGGCGCAGCTGACCAATGCCGTCGGGCCCCTGCGGAGGGAGACGGCCAGCCTGGAGCAGTGCCATGCCGTGCCGACACAGCTGGGCACTGGTGAGGGCGGGACCGATGAGGAGGACGAGCTCTTTGTTGAGGACCGTGGAGTGGACGTTCTGGACGTTTCTGACTCCGAATTCGAGGGGGATTCCTGTGGGGCTCAAAGCGCTGGTCGTGCGCGGGGCTGGGCCTGGCGCAGGCTCGGCGGAAGCCACTGCTTGCTCTGCCTCACCGCCAGCGCTGGCCCGCAGCGAGGTTACCTTGGCCTACCTGGAGGCGCGCCCCGCTGCTGTCCTCAGGGGGAAGAGGCCGAGGAGTAGCCCGAGGAGGATGCGTCCGAGGAGGAGTCCGAGTCCTCCTCCGCGGAGCACGTGCACGACGGAGCGGCGGGCGCCGCCTTCGTGCTTGGCACGATGCGCGCCGACATTGGTGCCAGCGGAGGGGGAGAGGAAGGCTCGGGGGAGTGTGCTGTGTACTCTGACGACCTCTCCTGCCCCCCCGACTCGGAAGCAGCCGCGCTCGCCAGGGAGCTCGAGGTCGAGCAGTGCGCGCGGTGGGCCGCGAGGGCCAGGGGATTGTTCGATTAGGGTCCGGCGACAACCCGGATAATCGGGCCTGCCCCCCGCCCCCCCCGGGGATAACCAAACCTTGTCGGTTGTGCAGGTCCGGGGGTGGGGGGCGCGGGAACACGCAGGGCTTCCCACAGCGCGAAGGTCAGGTTATCGGCCAGATCCCCCCTCCCCTCCCCCTCGGATAGCCTGGGTTGTCGCAGATTCAAAAAACGGTCTCCAGCATTGCCTGCGAGTGGATTGGCGAGCCGTCGGGCGAGAGCCACGAGCCCGCGGGCTGCGGCGCGCTGGAGGGATGCTCATGCGCGGAGGCCCCGATCCAGGCGGAGGCCGAGCTGACGGTGCAGGTCGTTTTGCCGGGGCAGAGTATGTCCATTCTGAAGCCTGTTGCCGACTACCTAGCGGAGCTGAGGCGCGAGGTCAGCGAGCTTCGCCTCAGTCCGCTGGACCTCGAGGTGATTGAATCGCTCTCGCTGGGCGGGGAGGCGGAGATCATCGAGGAGATGTCGCAGGAGTGGGACGAGGTAGAGGAGCTCTTGGAATTATGGAGCTCGACAGCGAGGCCGTCGTGCTTCTCGACGCGCTGGGCGTGCTCGGCGGCGCTGGCTGCGGCGTGGAGCCGCGCGAGGGGTTGGAGACGGCAAAGCAGGAGCTGGTGCGCTCCATGTGGCCTCGGCTTCTGAGTTGGATCCGCCGCAGGGCTGCGGCGATGTGGCTGGCTCGCAAGGCGGGGTGGCTCGAACCCCCGAGGCGGGACGCGCTCGGATGAAGAGAGCAGCGGGCTCGCCGCGAAGCTGGGCTCCGCGGCGCCTGGCCCAGGCGGCGGCAGCGGAGCCGCGGAGCCTGCGGCGACGGCCAGCGCCTGTGCGGAGGCGCAGGCCGAGGCGGCGCCTGCGGCGAGCACGGCGGCTGAGCGGCTTGGGCTTGTGCCCGCAGGAAGACTGCATGCTCGCACGGGCCTCTCGGGGCCATTGAAGAGTTAAAAATTCCATCACCGTACTATACACAGAGCGTCGTCTCTTGCGTTGGGCCGCGTGGCTGGGGCCAGCACTTTGATTCGGGTTCTGCGCAGCAGTGCCGGCTTGCATCGTCATGGGCACGCTTTGCGTACCCCGAGCGACACACTACGGGTTAACGTACCCGGTTCACCACCTTGAGGGCCGACAAGCGCGCCAGCGCCACGACGGCTGACCACATCATCGAGCTGGCGTTCGTCCCTGGGTAGGTCCGATTTCGAAGGCACCTGCGCAGTTCACATCGTGGTGGAGTTTTCCAGAAAAGGATTACCATCTTGGCGCTATTGGCTCCCACCGCCGTGGTCTACTCGTCCTGGCTCCCATCTCCCACGCTGCTTGGTCTAGGCTGCTCCACTCCCTCTCTTCGCCCAGCGCGGCTCCGAGCTACTCCCCCGCCTGGCATGTTGTCATCGGCTTTCGGACTGTCAGTCCGCAGCTCGGAGCCCTCAGACACAATCGCGGCACTAGGTGAGCGCGCCCCGCGCATTCGCGTGAGCAGTGCCCAGTGCTGCTCTTAAGAGCGCGGGCGAGCTCTTGAGTATAGCTGGCGAGCCCGCCAGCCGTCTCGTGCCGACGCCTTCTGGTCAGATGGCGGCGGTGGATCCTGGCTGGGTTGGGGCTGTGCGCGGGGGCGTTGGATAGTCCGTTTTCTCGTTTTTTTGCTCCGCCAGAACTGTTCGACCACCCGTACAATTCCGATTCAAATAGGATGTGCCGCTGCCGTTAGACCCCAGCGCAGACGCGTGCTGCGTACTTTGACAAGTAAGGGCCTACCCTATTACGTCACGTACGGCTTTTTGTCACCACCAACCCCGTAATTCTAGGCCCCCCCTCGTCCTCCTTATCCTCCTGGTCGTTCTCTTCATCGATGTCCTCTGCTTCACCTCACCCGATTTATTCTCGCCCCCTATTCCAACGCAGTGCCTCTCTGAATCCTCCTCGTCCGCAGCCTATGCTTAAAAGGGGCGCCGACACCACCACGCCAGACCTCGACGGCATCACGCCCAAAGATGCGGTCTGGAGGAGGGCAACCGTGCACTCTCCTGCTTGTTGTCTCCCTCCACGTTGCCCAGTCGTCCCTCATCCTTCTCGCCCTCCTGTTCCGCCGCCTCCTCCTCGCCCTGTCCAAGTGGCGGTTGGCTCCCCAGACGTCCGACGTCTCGGCTTCTTCGAGACGGGCCCCCGACCTCCCGACCGCTTTCCTGGGACCAGTTCTTCGTCCCGAGCCGTTTTTGACGGCCCCGAGGCCCGGCGAGGGCCCCGAGGGAGAGGCCGAAAGCGACGAGGCACCTCCGCCCCGATCTGTCGAGACGCCCGATGCCTGGGCTCTCCTCCGCCTGTTCCTCCCCCCCCCCCCCCCCCCCCCCCCCCCCCTCCTCCTCTCCTTCCACCCTCCCGTCCCCGTCCCCTCCTCCCCCCGCTCCTCCCAGCCGCCCTCCTCCTCCGGCCGCCTCCTCGCTCGTGTCCGCGTGCGCGGCCCTGGCCCGTGCCACCGCCCCCCCGGACCTGCGACGCCCTGCGCTGCATATTTTCAGCACGGGGTCCCTCGAGATTCGGGCCACTTCCCTCGGGCGCTGCGCATTTGGGGGGGCCGACGACTGGGGGGGGGGTGAAGAAATGCGGGCCGGACGGAAGGGGGGGATAGGGAAAGGGGAGGTTACGAAATTTGCGGCATGCAGCTGGTTTCAGCCCCACCGAGGGGCCCATTCCTCGATACATGGCCGCCTCCGGCGCCAGGAAAATCAGCTCCGCGAGCTGATTCTCAACCCCCCCCTTTGCTATCCCCCCCTTTCGCCCAGCCCGAGAAATCTAGGCCTCCCAGATGGGGTCCGAACAGATGGGGTCGGAGGGTCGCGCCGACTCGCCGATGCAGCGGCGATGCGGCTCGATTTGGAGTCTGATTTTCTCCACGCCGACGTCGCCGATGCATCGCCGACGTCGCCGGTGCATCGCCAATGCATCGG